CTGGCACTATCCTTGGCATGATTTCGAATGAGACGTTTCTTTTCTCCCATATTCTCCTGTTACTCTTTCGCATTCATCGCTTGCACTCACTTTTAATGTTTGTGACCATGCTCTTCAAAAATAAATAATTTAGTAGTAGTATGAACTTAGGTGAAACTGCTTAGTGCAGTTCGACTAATCTAATTCTATCAGTTGAAGGTACAAATGTATTGTTTGTGTAACGAGAAGACATGGTGAATTGTCCAGTGAGTGCATTTAGATGTGAAGTTTCAGGTTTCTTCATAGGCGGAGGTCTCATCGCATCCCTCTCTTTCTATCGGTTAGACTGGAAAGTATCTCTACAAATGTGAGTTGAAATTAACCTTCTAATGGGTTCTAACATGCTAGCTATCCAATTGTTCAATGCTTGATAGGAAGAATTCGGCATGCCGAGGATAGACCTGAGAGGTAGAATGGGTTTGTGAAATTTTGGGGACTATGAAGCCAAAGAATTATTGTGACGCTCAGGAGTATCGGCACCAAGGAATCAGGTTGTTTAAAACATGGCATTAATGCCACCTTTGGTATGAATTAGTTCCTGCTGTCCTTAGTTGCCATTTCTATAAATTTAGTTTCATCTGGTAGAATGGTATTCATTTTTATTACCTTCTACCCATTAAAGCAATTCCCGCGTTTTCTCATCAATTTTAACGAGTATGGTTTGATCATCTTCCTGCAAAAATGTTTGGGGGACCGGAAGTGTTCATTACCAAATAATGTTAAAACCTGGGATAGCATTGAATATATTAGTAGCAGTATTGGACCAAAATTGGCTTCGGCTGTTACATATTTAGCTCTGATGAATGTGCTAGTTCAAATAACATATCGTATAAGCTCTCTCAGGCTTCAGTTGACTAATACCAGAACCGGGACAATACAGCTTGAGACCCACGCGTCCGAAAATATAGCGTCCAAAGCTAGCGACGAAAAATTGTGTGTATATCTTTGTGGATTGGATGTAAGTATGCTAAGCTAGCTGACAGGTTTCTTCTCTATGACGAATGTGTAAATTGGGCGCATCGGGTACCGACTAGGTCTCAAGAAAGCCTACACAGAGAACCTGCTTGCCAAGACTCTGTTCAACAGCGTTTCACACAAGTTGTCTGCGGTGGCCATGGATTTGATTCAACTTCTGAGTAAAACTAGCCATTCGTGCTCCAGGATCTGGGTCCGATTGGGGAAGTGCATTTTTTCACTGATTTCCGGAGGAATCGGAAGGAATCAGAGGAATCAGATACTTCTCAAGTTCCTTAAGCGGGCTTGTGCCTTTGAACTGCTTCAGGAGAGTGACAATCATCGTGTAGTTAATGACAAGCATGATCAACTGGCAAGAAATCGGTTTATCGCTATGTTCGGGTGGTTCATTCTGGTTCAGATATGCTACTCATCATCACGTCTCTGCCTCAGTTCGTAATTGTTTTGCCGAAGGCAACAATGGGCTGAGAGTGATTCTTCACTAGCTCAGAGTAAGCTTTTGTTCCGCTCACTCTACAAACGCAACTGATTGTTAAGCGTTAGCCAATGACCATCAACTACGAAACAACTGGCGCTCAAAGCAACCAATTCCTCAAGCGTGGATTCTGCTGCTGCAGTACGCATATTTTTATGTGCATTGGTGTACCTTGTACAGTTCACTTCTTCAAGTGTTGATAGTATGTTTGGGTGTTGTGGCCAAAAATTCAGTGGAGATTCCGTAAATTAGCAATGTTATGAAATTTATGTAGCTCGGGTGCGTTGCTTGGTCGTCTGTCTGTTCGCCGAGCTCGGAAGTTGAATTATAAACGTACCATCACCAATTGAGGTGACATCCTTAGTGCAGGGTTGGGTGGGTGGATTTCTCCTCTTCTGCCTATGATTATATAGCCTCTAAACAGTATCTGGTAGTTCTGGAAAAGGTCTTCGCGTGACCACTCAAACTACGTTTCACGTTTGTCCATTATTCCGGGTCTTTGGCAACGTTCTCTTGTCGTTTCCGCTTCCTTCTCGAAGCTTTACTGTTTGAATGACCATGTAGCAAGACTTGCATAGGTGAACGTTAGACATGCCGATATCTTCTTATTGTTCAGCTGTCAAGCTAATCAAAGTTGGTTCTCGGCCAGTGGTGTAGAAATGAGCATTCATCCTAGTTTAATCAGTATGCTGAAGTCAAGCTTAAGGATAGTCTCTGTGGGGCCCAACTCAAAAGCTGTTGAAATTTATGAACTCACATCGAATCACCTTTTGAGTTTTATGACGCATCTTGGGTTTCACTGGATTTTTATCGGCTATTTGTTTCCCAGGAAATATTTCGTGGATCAACTTGTGCGCCACACCGTACAATATTGCACAAGCGAGCTAGTATCGCCGAAATGGCTCAATGTGACGCATAATTATGTTGAAGTATACAGGTTATTTCGCAAAGATTTGGTAGACTAGTGTCCTGCAAGCCAAATTATACGTAAACATCGCTCTAATGTGTTTGCTAGTCACACAGCAAGTGCTGCAACGTCGATTTCGCAAGACTGTTGGGTGTAATAATAAGCATTTGCGATTTGTTACTGTTGATATCCGGCGGTTTGTCCCTAACACATTTGTGTGACATCAATAGGCTGATCGTCGTAATGGGTCCACATTCTTTTTCCTTTACTTTCTATCAGTCATCCACATTCCCACTAAGTTAATACTTCTCCAGGTAGGCAAAATGGAATCACGATGGTGCCGTCAGTTAAATGCAGCGTCAAAGATTACGGCCAATTCTTATAGGATACCGAAGGACAGTACAGATCTGACTACTCATCCAATGCGTACTGCAAAAAGGACCTCATGATAATATGGAGTTGAAGTAATTTACTTATCCACCTTACTCCTGGAAGGTCCATATCACCAGCCCTTGTGTGAACCAAAGTCCGATGAATCATTCAGTGGTTGAATAAACTAAAGGTTAATAAGATGAAAAAAGTTGAAAGTGACAACCGATTACAGGTTCCTCGGGATATCTGCCTAATACCTAAACACATTCACTTGGAAGCATGCATTACAGGCACCGGATTGGAATATACTTTTGGTGAACGCTGCAAAGTTTGTGGTTGGTTTCTACACGGAAGTACGCTTAGTCTCGAAGAGTAAACCTGCTCCTGAATGTACATGTTACGGCGGGAGAAGGCGCAATGATAAAACTGGTCACTGGAGTCAGAAAATAGTGTTTTTATGTTCAGTGTAAGGCACAATACAAACTGTGATTTGCAGCGGAACATTGGTTAAGTTTCTTGTAAATGGTTCAAAACAAAGTGTATATTACAACTTTTCACCCAGTCCATACCACATAATTTCGTTATCCAAAATTGCTCCATCGGACCACTTGTAACAGATTTGTATCTGGAAGACTGAATATAACACAGATGAAGTTCATACGGCGGCAAATCATTTGTGCTCCATCGGACCACTTGTAACAGATTTGTATCTGGAAGACTGAATATAACACAGATGAAGTTCATACGGCGGCAAATCATTTGGTAAACAATATATATATATAACTAGAATTAAAAAAAGGTGTCCAATTTAATAAAATCTGCAGAAAGTTGGGAGGATGGCTTTATAAGGACGGAAGAGTAAAACAGTTACCGTGAAAACTGGTATCGTATTTCCTAAATATGACAATGACGGAATTCATTGCGTGGAAATCAGCCAAATGTCAGGAAAGGGTAAGAATAAATGGTTGAGATCACCTGCCCACAAGAGTTGGTGTACTTCTTAATCTGAATCCCAGTGTTTGAAAAAGAACATTGACTACGAAAGTCCAGTGTTCAGCCTAGATAACTGTCTATTAAGATGTAGAAGCCAAATTCTCAAACAAGTAAATAATATCCTGAATTCTTTCCCACGACGTGATGTATATGACGCAAGGAAAGTAGTCCTTGAAAGAAATGCCTTCGGTGTTCGATTTAGCGATTGCAAACGCATCTCAGCCTACTCCGTGTTTTTGGAAGGTGAAACTAAGCAATTCGTGGAAGTCTCGAGTTTGTGAATCCCAGTCGTTTCGCGCATCATGATCATTGTTGACAACAGTATACTGGTCCCTTTGCAGCTCACTGTTTTTTCCAACAGCTACAAGAATGCAATACGCTTGAGGAATTTCGCGGTTGAAATGTGTTGTGCATTTACTAGAGTGCTGATGACTTCTAGCTTCTCATAGACAATTACTTGACATGACTTAGAGTGGGAGACCCTGAGATGTAACGCGAAATCACTTCAGGTGATGGACAGATGAAGCGCATGCTATGGTCACATACTGGTTGGATGGTGAAGTTAGTCGCATCGGATTCCATTGAAACAAATATATAGAATATCGGAAGCCTTCTGGAACACGGAGAGCTTAAAGTCAACATATGGGCTTCCGAGGCCCTGAAGAAAAGCGGCAGATCAGGTAGGGATTAAAATTTCAAGCGAAAGCAGTAACAGGAAAGACATGAACAGCAGCTCTGGACTCGATTTAATGGATTTGGCGTTTCGAAACCGGGGTGTTCGTGTTTTTCCTAGCAAGCTACACATTAATCCTGTCCAGGTCTTTTGTGTTCGTTGTAAAGCCTCATCATCAAATTTCCAGATTTTTATAAAATTTTTACCTGTAAGATTCAGCTCCTTGGTCACAAGTGAATCAGTTGCACCAGATATCAAAGATAACATGGGACCTTCACAGTGTCAGCAAGATGTGACTCTTTCCCAGCCAGCTCCCAGGCCGCTTGGGCGTTTGCAGTCAGAGGTTTACACAAGGAAGTCATGATATAATTTGGCATACCGAAGGTATTAGGTAAGAAGTCAAAGATGAGTTTGTGAACCAGCACAATCAGGAGATAAATTAAAATTCGCATCGGAAAGTGAATACTCCCTATGAGAAGATTTATAGCACATCAGTTGCGTTTAGAAAAGGATTTAGTTCACAATAATATCCCCCTTTGAAGAACCATTTTTCGAAGTTCTTGGCTTGATGCAATAAAACTGTTTGAGTAATAATATGAATAGGACAATGGTGTTGATAACTGATCTGTTGTTTCAAAAGCAAGCCGGAATAAAGATGAACATGATGTCGGACGATTACGAATTGCAAAGCTTTCGTAGAACACTGGGTCATCACGTCATTTGTTGACGTTTTAGAGACAGTGAGAGTGATGGGAAGTGAAAATTTACACACCGTAGGATTCACAGGAGCGCTTTATTCTGACCTCGTCAGTGAGACCTCTTACATGTGCAAAATGACGTATTACACCAGTTTAAGTGCTTTTTCATTTCAGGGGTACTTCAAAAGAAGTAATCCACAGCAGAATGCTCTTTTGACCGTTAGAACCAGATCAAACTGGATTAACTTTTAAGGATTATGGTTTGGTTTAAAAACGCAAGAGCTGGGAAGTGTGAATTAAATCAAATCAGGAGAGCGACACTCTTGTTAGATGCAGGTAGATTTCAATTCTAAGTTCTCGCTCTGATATTCCCCCAAGACTTCTGTTGGCAAGCATTCTCTCTTAAGGCCGTATAAACTTCTATCACAAGCCTTACCGTTTAGAAACAGAAGTATTCTGAATACAAGATGGGATACTCCGAAAGCTGAACTCTTTCGTCCACACTACCCAAAAAGTCAAGCTTAAATTTGAACCGGTTCCCACCCAGACAGGTTGCTGTTTTGAAAGGTTAAGGACAGCAATCAAACCAGTTATTTTTCACAAGTTTGCCTCCATGTAATAATTCTTCTAAAAGCTTACATGGATGAAATTACTAATTATCTCTTCGTAAGCTTTCCATATCGTTTCGTGCTCACAACTAAGGCAACAATATTTGCAACTTACTGAAAATATGTAAATGCCTGTTTCGCTCCCAATTACGACCTTCTTTCGTCCAGCTCCTCTCTTAGTTGCTTTATTTCATCCTCGTACGCCTGAACAAGGTCCTTCTGTGACAAAGATTATCGAATTGGTAGGTCTAACTCACCAGGAGTGTTTGCCACGTTTTGGAGAAGTTTTCAAGGGTATTTTTAACTCTTGTAGATTCTACCCTGAAACGGACAAAATTGTGTGCCGATGATTCTGATTGTGTCGAAATAACGAGAGATGTCAGAAGTAAGCAAAAATATTGGGTCTCTACTCACTGAGATATCAAGTCTGATATGTTAGCCTCAAGGTGTGACTGACGTTCACTTGTCCGGAACCCAATTTCCACCTTCCTCGTTTCTTGTGTAGAGGTTGAAGGTCCCTGATACTGAGATGCTGATGAGCTTCGCGAAGGCCTAGGACCTCCACCAGAACCATATAAACGTCGTCTGGCGGCGTCTTTCATGAACATCTAAAAAAAGCGAGGATACTGACGTTAGGTTAGCAACATTGTAACTTAATGATCGTAATCCTTGAATGGATTTTCGATCACTATATATGGTAACCTAGTCACACAACAGAATTAGTTTTTCGACGGGTTTCAGGAGTTATTGGTCATCAATATCAAAATAACTTTATGACAATCTACGCATCTTTGCGGTCCCATTGATTACAGTTTTCATGAAAGAATGAACTTGTGAGCGAGCTTTTCATGTGCTTCATCCTGCCATGCAAGTTTTGTTAACAGGTCTGGGGTGGCAGTTGGAAAATTCGTGTTTTTGCTGGGGAAGTTTACTTTTAAATTCGGAGTGAAAAAAAATGAATGTATGGTAACTAACCAAGCATAGCACTTGTCCGGAACCCAATTTCCACCTTCCTCGTTTCTTGTGTAGAGGTTGAAGGTCCCTGATACTGAGATGCTGATGAGCTTCGCGAAGGCCTAGGACCTCCACCAGAACCATATAAACGTCGTCTGGCGGCGTCTTTCATGAACATCTAAAAAAAGCGAGGATACTGACGTTAGGTTAGCAACATTGTAACTTAATGATCGTAATCCTTGAATGGATTTTCGATCACTATATATGGTAACCTAGTCACACAACAGAATTAGTTTTTCGACGGGTTTCAGGAGTTATTGGTCATCAATATCAAAATAACTTTATGACAATCTACGCATCTTTGCGGTCCCATTGATTACAGTTTTCATGAAAGAATGAACTTGTGAGCGAGCTTTTCATGTGCTTCATCCTGCCATGCAAGTTTTGTTAACAGGGCTGGGGTGGCAGTTGGAAAATTCATGCTTTTACTCGGGAAGTTTACTTTTAAATCCGGAGTGAAAAAACTGAAGGCATGGTAACTAAACCAAGCATAGCGTCTAAACTGTATCCCATCATACAGAGGGTCACGCATAGGAGTAGAGACTAGTTTTTTCTATTGGCATCTGATCTGAAGTTTCCGCTTCCATCTTGAACCAACTTCAAACGTGTACGAACTAGTTCAAACAAGTGATCATCTTTGTAGGGGGTTTTTAAGACAAAAATTACACCCTATTACAAAATGATTGAGCTTTCTGAGATTACACAAAGTTTCAACTAGTAAGAAGGTCCTTCTAAAAATAAACGACGGACTAAAGTAGACCATAAAAGAACAAAAAAATGCTCGACAGGCTTTGACAGTCTTTTGAGCCTATTTGAATGCACTGCATGCTCGTGTGTTCCTCAGTCAGTGGACAGATAAGCATGGCAGCTCCGCAGTTAAGTTACCCAATCCCGTGTAGTTTTTGCCTTTTTATGTGCCAAAACAACTCGGAGCGAGATTGCGGGTAATCCAAATCCGTCAGACATATTTTAAGTAGCAAGGCCACCTGAAGAATCTTTTCTTCCATTTCTGACTTATTCAGTGAACAAGTGGTCTATCAGCTGCAAAGCAGCCTGGATCTGGAGTGGCCATACACAACCGTATGGTTGTAGAAGAGGGCGAGTTTTTAAGCCAAAAAATCGCAATTATTTGAAGCATAGTGACAATCCTACATATTTTCTTACTGACTTGAGTAAACCGTTCGAAACCAGACATTAGGCCTGCGTTTAATGCGCACCTTATTTATCTGCTGAACAAGGCATCTCTACGATTAAAATGTAAAGACATACTGCTTTTGATCGTAAAGGAACGCCACCTATGAGATTACTAAAAACAGTTCAACAATGCACGATCGCTTTATCCTTTCTCAGAACTCATTATGTAGAAAAATTCTCTGGTTTTCCATTGATTTTATGTTTGGCTCAAAAGCACTCGTACAAAGATCGTAGAATACACTTTTTTTTAACACCAATTAGGTCACGACAGAATACTAAGCTGAATCCCTCTTTTACAATCACGTCCATATTGTAGAACGTTTTAAAACCGCAAAATTTTCTCAATCAGCCGTGTAAATCATGTATGCATAATATGGCAAGTTACTGGTCGACCATTTTTACCCACGCTCACAGAATGGTGAAAGTTATGTCTATGTGGCTAATCGACCTCACAGATTTTACCTTAGCCATCTAAACTTCAGCATGCTCTTCTTGCTCATGGCTCCCAAAAATGTCTCGACTTTGGTGGTTTTGATACAAAACCTTCGGTTTCTAGAATCCAGGAACCACAATTTTTGCTAAGTGTGGTATGTATCAAGATCATGTTTCCTTGGAAGGTGCTCATGGCTCCCAAAAATGTCTCGACTTCGGTGGTTTTGACACAAAACCTTTGGCTTCATTTTTTAATCAATCTATGATCAGTCTAGAATCCAGGAACCACAATTTTTTGCTACGTGTGGTATGTAACAAGATCATGCTTCCTTGGAAGAGCAACGGTCTCATCATCCAAATGCATACATGGTAGCATGTGGCATTGTACCAGCAGCTCATCATAGATAGCTGAAAGGACAGCTGCAGACTGAGGTCTACAGGAAGGCGACCCAAGTGAACCAACTCCTGAGCCATGACAGCAACAATCTAAATTGTCATAAACAGAGCTACATACGGACACTTTTCAAGAGGATTGTAAGCACTGAGGCACAGTAGAATCCAAGAATTAAAAAGAAAAAACAAAAATTGTCCCACGGGATTTTATCTCGATATCACCCAGGAAGCCAAATACGACCGATTCAATAGCGCAGAATGAAAGCAAACAAGATACACCCTGATATATTAAGAAATGGTTGGGCCATTTATCTCAATATAAAACAAAAAACACAGTCATGATGTACTCATACTCATCCCCGTCTCATCGGTATAATGGCAATAACTCAGTGAATCCGTGTTCGCAAAGCTGGGTATTTTTATAGTTGAAGTTTCTTTAGTCTATCGAAGGTGTCACTAGCAACGTCAGTGTTTACTCTGATTAGCAACTAGTAAAGTTTCGCTTCGCTTCATTCCCTGTTTTTGCCAAAAGACGCAGTTAAGTTGTATCTCTGATAAGTTGCTGCAAAATTCAATAAAAACCATTGCTTTTCTGAGTGTCTGATTGATAAAAGATTTACCATCCTGTGCAGGAAATTAGATGACTTGTTTATCTGTGTGTAGATGTATCCAGCGGAAGCATTTCCTCATATGAAAGCATTTTCACTCGCTCACTGATAACGGATTCGTCTGTTATGTCTGTGTGAACCATAGTTTTGAGTTTACTGAGTAAAACCCACGTAAATAGTGTTCCCATACGTGGCATCCTACAGACTTTGAACTAAAACATTTCCAAAAGTATTGGCCATGCAGCTGAGGGACAGACATATAGTTGGGTATTTTTACCGGATACTATGGACTATTCCTGACCTCAGTCATGTAGCTTTTAACGTATAAATGCAGTACAGCTTTTTATCTATAGTGGATAGGGCTTAAACCAGCGTGGAATATCACAGCTCACATAAAAACGTTGCCATACCAAGATACTAGTGTCCACAAAATGCCATCATGTGGCGTCGATAATCAAGAGGTAGGCTTTTCCAGGTTAGATTATGAACTCACGAAAGAAGGTTTATTCGTATGAGCGGCAGCGGAAGGCGGATTTTTCTTGTATTTTTGCTTCACGCTGCAAGTCACGAAGAGATTTTACGCTACATCTGGTGCAAATAACCCCGAAGCTCGAAAGGCTGCTTTAGACTAGTTTTGTGGAATTCCCATCATATCGACAACATTTGAGGGAGACAGAATCCCCAGGGGAACTTGTTGGAAGCTGCACTTCTATCGACTATTCCTAAGTTTGTTCTAGGAAAAAAATCTGGTCCGTATTATCTGTATATTGATTCCTGGACCGACCAGTGCATCATTTAGACGGTTCGCTTTGCAGAATAATCGTGTATGAAGAATCATCACAAAGTATTTGGTGGATTGCCGAAACACAGATATCCGCAAATAAGTCACTCGCCTTTTGTAAAAAAAACTGTCGCGCATTTAAGTTCGACATGACGTTTTTCATTTTATCTGATTTCCTTTTTTTCTGTGGGATGGGGGGTTTTATCTCACTTTCTAGGCTGTGTTACTCTGGTTATTAGAGCCGGTTTTCCATCTGACGTCCTGATTTCCCGTTGAAAAGTTACTTTGTTATCCTAGAAAGTGTATGGAAGCGTGCGAGTAGGACAATTCGGCAAGTGATTTAATGACTGTTATTCAACTTCGGGACGCCTAAGGTGTTTTGTCTGTAAACTTGAGGGGCTATTTTAGGTTTTTACACCATGTAGATTCCGAGGACCCAAAATTATGGATCTACATTGTGCAGGTGAACCCAAATTTACAAAATGAGAAAGTGCTAATTTCTACAAGTGCAAAACTTCCCGACGTAATTTTCACTGAAATCATAAATAACGAAATAAGGTTTTCAACGCTGCTAAATATAGGTGATTAAAAATATAACAGATCTATTTATAATCAAAACAATGACAGTCATCTCTGGACCCATAATCTACACCGAGTTACTCAATCTGAGAATTTATATGTGTCATCTTTCTGTGCAATCACTTTTCGCACGATGTCGTTTTCATGTACCCTGTATGCCGTCTGTCTGGAGGTTTGTGAAAATGTAAAAGCTGTTTATCCAACTATCATAAACTTGTCAACCCTGACATTTTCAGCTTTACAGTTTGTTTGAGAGACTCTTAGAATGTCCTTGTATTTTAGTATGCTTCTCACCGTTTTACCGGGCCAACAATATTATTCGCATAACAGATTGGCTGTATAACCAATCACTCGTCACCCAAAGACTAAATCATCCCCGTTGTCAGATATTTCTCTTGGGGATACAGCCTGATGGATGTTGGTCCAGTTAAACAGAGCTTGCCAGAGAGGTTTTAACCTAAACGTTATTTTAGTTGAATTTTTCTAGATTTTAGCATTGTACCGATTGGCGGGAGTTGCAGATCGGTCACAACTGAATCGGGGGACTGACAGGAACTAGTGTTACCATGCCTACAGGAACACGTGGCACGAAACGGTTGGTTTGATGGTACGCACTGGTGATGGCCAAGGTGGTAGCTTGACATTCCAAATCATACCTCTGGTGTCTTAGATGGTAAGCAAACACGAGTTAATTTGCCGTTCAGGGCGCGAACCCAATGACTTGAAGGCCCAAACCCGAGCAACTCTGTCGCTCTATTCTGGCCCTGGTCATTCTGGCAGTACATCTCTTCTCGTGAGCCTCTTGGGTATCACGGAAGCTAGGCACCAAAAATGTGTTACAGATGATTGATTATTATCATTATTATTGATTTAAGGGGCGCGCGCAGACTACCGTTACTGTCAGGATGGAAGATTGTTTAGTGGTAAGTATTGACTATTTGAACGCGTCCGATTACTTTGACCAGCCACTCTGCGAAAGGTGATAAGTCAATGCATCACAGACATGTCTGCACCTGTCTTCAGTCCGTTGTACGTAGAGTGGCAAGCAATCAGCATAAACATAAGGTTTACTTTCACAAAACACGAATACCGACTGTTTTACATCCGTCCAGAGAAGGCAGATCACTAAACTTTTATAACTGTGGATATTACATCAACAGAGACATGCAAGGCAAGAGTAGTAGGTTGCGATCCACAAGCATTGAAAGTTGTGTAGGTGTGCTGTTATACAAATCCCCAAGGGAATAAAAGCTTTCCGTGTGACGGTGTCGGTTGTGGCATGCATAGAGACGCATAAAACTGACCTCGGCTTCTGGATGGTCCTCCAGCGCCTCCATTATATCGTCCCTTGATAGCACATATAACTCCGTATAACCAACTGCACGCACATCAGCAGTCCGCCTTAGAAACGTAATAAAACAAAATGACCATTAGGTTGAGCATTATTGGTGCAAAAGAGCCAAAATATCGCTCACTAGGTTCAACATTTCGTGTCATGTTTCAGTCAGGCTAACAGAGCTCACCTGAATCGGTTGATTTTGAAGATTATAGAAGCACAGTGGCTGAATACCGTAAAGGCTGATTAGTCAACAGCCTTCACACACAGCGTTCTTGGCTTGTGTGTGCAAGGATAGTCACAGCAAATGGAGTCACAATGGGTGTACGCCAGGATTACCCTCAGCAAGTTTGAAAGCCCGGTTGCCTGATGCAGACAGAGTGGGGTCAAGCTCTTGAGAAGCTTCACAGTGGGCCTGCAAAGTAATTGCCGCAGCACCCAAACCATTGGGTGTTTGGAGTGGTGATAAATTGAACTAGAGTTGACTACAAGACACCATTCAGATATGAACTGATTCCAACCTATCGCTGACGGTAGCTGCCCAAGCGGAAAACATAGCTGAGGCTTCTCAGTTATCCGAGCATTGGCCTGAAAGTGACAACCCTACAAATTTGTCAGAGGTGTTTTTCGTGATCAGTGCACGGAAAAAGCGCGTCTTGGCCTGTTGCCTATTTTCAGTTGTTTCTGGACAGACTTATTGCCGTCAAATGATAGCTTGGTATTTTAGATTTTTTAAAACTGCCTCCCCTACGGTGTGGCTACTTTGGATTTACAAAGTAGGAAGTTGTATATGTGGCCGCTACTCGCATGTTTCACTACCAGTTGTCCAAGTCTTATCTGATGTGACAGGCCGTTTTTGGAAACGGATGGTTGCTCATTCTCTACGGCTGGTCACAACAGTCTTCGAAAAAATGCGTCTATTACTTGTTGGAGTCAGCCCCATCCGGATGGGGTAAAACTCAACAACGTTATACATTCCTAATATAGTCCGAGTCGAAACTGAGAGACCTGAGACCCATTTTCTTTATTCAATCTGTTATCCACATATATATCTGCGGTGTTTCTCATTACATCTATCGAAATACTTTGCACAATATCTGCATTTTTTAAGGTGATCATCATCGGCAGTAAAGAGTATTTGAACCGCATCTGAAACGGCATACAACAGCATCTAAAACAACCTTTGTTGACACTGTCTCCGATTTGAGTAAGAGTGTGAGTGCCATCCATTGGTCACTTTCCAGACAGTGAGAGTCCAATGGATGACGCAATTTGCACACGGTAAACCACTATATGACTTAAGTTTAGGGCTTGATGGATCACGTACCCAAGTAGTATAAGCTGGACAGGTAACCGGGGATGCGGTGATTGTTGCAACACTGAGGCACTTTATCTTACTACGGCTTGTTTGTGCTGACTTCACGTGATCTACCACACTTTGCTACCACGAAATCTGTTGCCTAACCGAACAAGATGATGATACTTTTGGCCACAGGAGAAATATCACTTCAGCGGGGCCGTACTACCATCCTTTTAAGTATCATTCCATCCAACATCAGTGCCATTGAAAAAACAGAACTCCTTAGTGTTATCATTGTAACCTCAAGTTTCGAGTATGGGCGTTCCTATGCATATAAAAACCACTTTCGGTCACCTTTTTTCAGAGTTTTCATCACTACTGATTGCGTCTTCGCCTTACTAGCTGTAGGCACCGAAATACATAGATATTAATCTACATGACAAGAAAAGCTTGTATCTGAGTTTCAATCGTCCAGGGAGCGGATCATAGTTTGGCTTAGTTAAAATCAAAAGTAACAAAGTAGGTTTCCTTGATGCTATACTAGTGACGTTGGAGTAAACACATTCAAAGATCTGATACCACTTCAATACCTCTCGGAGTTTATTAGATTGACACGCTTCTCAGATTTCTATCGGTCCTAATTGATGTCTTCCACTTTTTAAATTGTGGTGTACCACTTGAAAGTATTCTGAAATTTTGAGAATCAACCCAGATGAACCACGAAATGGTCTTCGATCTGTTCTTTCGCCTTCAACCGAGAGATTCGCCTAATTCTCGCACAAAGCTATTTCTATCGTTCCTTATTTCCACTACCGGTAGTGATAATTTCCTCAGTAGCATCAGCTTTGCGTTTCTTTCGTTTTATAAACAACAATTAACTTGGAAGTATGGGGGTACCGTTTTCTCTGCATGCGTACCATTAGGATACAAGCAATATTCAGCGACAGGAAACCTCCTAGGGTCTCAGTGCAAACTGATTAGTGCTGAACATATGGCTCTTATATTCTAGCTCACTAAGAGTCCTAAGCATTCTCCTAAAAACATTCACAGATATTCCCTGAGGAGACGTAATAAGTTAGATCAGCGACAAAATTCTGCATTAGTGACCTGAGTTGCATACACTCAATTAATGTGGATTCGTCTTTAAAAAAAACCGATTTCGTGATCTTTGGACACCTGTATCTTCCTGACCAAACTTCGTGGGTAAAAATCCAGCCATAAAGATTTTTTAAAAATATTTTAATTGGAAGCAGTCCTCGTCGTCCGTAGAAGTTGTATTACTGATCTATGTGAGGCAAAATTTTTAGTCGAAATGGATTTTATCTCTTTTATACAGGACTTGATATCACACAGTAACAACCAGATAGTGCTACTAGTCAAAGACTGATTCAAGTATCATCGTACAACTTTATGGAGTGATAGAATTGTTCTGAGACCTTTTCTCATTGCAACAATGCTGCGCGGCTCGATAAAGAACTGGTGCGTTTTGAAGAATCCTTTTTCGCACACAATAATTAGATTGCAGTAGGTACTTGTTAGGACGGGTTAACCGCAAAGGATGCTCGTATGGGTATGGTTAAGCTTAGATGAGTAGAGTCGTTCGTTTTAGAACTATTTAACTGGCGTACATTCTATTGTTCCTAACATACCTGTGGATGATCCGCCAGCACTCTAACCAAGAGAAAAACACCAACGCCTAGTGGTCTTGCCTCATTCTAACAGACGTTCCCTTTTCAGACGCATGTTCTTACGTAAAGTGCTGTGTATAATAATCGGTACCCAGCGAAGAAGCAGTTATGATGGGTTTTTCAGCTACAGGCTTGTTTAGAAAACAANAACAGAACGCAACAACAAAATTCACAACTTCCAGTGTTGCCACCATATCTCCCTCCAAATACATCATAATTAAATTGGATTGGATCCTCCTGAATTTACCAGCCAGTGGGTCGAGTGATTAGGATATAACTGTGGACTTCAAATGACAAAAATACAGTTTGTTAGGTTATCCTCAAGATCGATCAAACGGTCACATACTTACTTGTTTTGTCCTTCAATACGAAGTACACCAATTTCACCAAACATATCCCCGCTCGCCATCATCGCCAATACCTCATTGTTGGGGCTGTTCAAACAAAAATAAGAAATAATACACTGCATTGTCAAGCACTGTATTGGTGAATAACTTTGGATAAATGTTCTGGAAGATCTCAGTTTTGGTCGATAAGTCGGTCATCAGTGGATAATCTACGAGCACGAATTTTATGTTTACTGTTCGATATTTTGTCCGGTCACTCTATACCTGGGCTACCGTAGACACTGTAATATTGATAGTATGAGGGATTTGGGAAATCTCGGCAGAAATTTTGCTCTTTAAGTGCGACTAATCCATGCTGAAAGACCAAGGATCATTGCACAGTTGTTCCATCCTTGCTGGAAACCAGAAGCAATGCACAGTGCACAAAATTCGATGAACTTTTGAACCCGAGGCCTCTCAGTTAATAGTATGAACAGGCGGCTGGTCAGTGGCGTGATTAGTTCGCAGTCAGAGAGGATATGCTGCCACTCATCACACTGACCAGTTCCACCAAATACGGGCTAATCACCTTGACAGTCAGCCGCGGGTGGCCTAACCGTTATTTGTTCAAATTTCTGGCCCAGCGGGTTCAAAAATCCTTGCAGAGATTCCCAGTAAGGATAAAACAGATATAGTTATCTAAGTATTCTTCGATTTCTCCATCCTTGGGTCAATCTATTTACATTTAACACAAAGTATTCTGTTTACAACCAATACTTAATTGCAGTTACTTCCTTATGATGGATACATATAGGCAGGATATGATATGGTGGCAGGTTAATCCAAGCACTGTCTACTTCTGTGAGTGAAGGTTTACAAACTGAGATGCATAGTATCTACGAAAAAATATGTAGCAGGAAGAAAGTTGAGGGACACCAATGATCCTCAAAATCATAAAAATAGCAGGGCCGCGTTCTGGGACGCCTTTTTGAATGGAAAAATGATCTTTGTCTCATCGTCAAAGAACAGAATCATTTAAAGTCTATTGACGCCATAGATCGAGGACCCGGTTTGATCATCTCTATATTGTGTGGAGAGTCAAAGTACCAAACGCATTGGTTAGGAATGGAGAGCGGTTGAGCTAAATGTAGATTTGAACATCCTGGTTCACTATAGATGAACGGAAGTATACTATCATAACAAACATTACTCTTATTTCCAAATTTCCGAAAGAGGTAGTCCTAGTGGGGGCTGGCAGCGCCAAAAACAGGCAAAATTCTCTCCTCCGTTTCCGAGGAATCGCACTCAGTCCGCAACTTTAACGTCAAGTTTTGCGAATCCTGGAAGGCTTGGCTCCTAGGTGACAATATCGCAATTGGTTTACTTCTGACGGGTTGTAACTTTCATCAATTTACATTCTTACCGATCTGGTATGAATGACTTTCCTGTTGTTCCGGTACACTTGTTTCATTTGATAACCGGAACTGGGGAAATAAATCGGATCAATTAAAACCCATCCGCTGTGAAGACTTTTGACCGAATTTTGGGTGGTGTTGGTGTCTCACAAGTAATTCACCAGGTCCCCAGCCTCCAAAGACTGATTCAGTAAATGTGTTGGTTGTACCAAACAATTGGTTTGGGTTTGTGGAGTAACTCAGTTAGTCAGGACAAGCCGGCAGTATCCAAATGGATGGTTGGATGCAAGTTCTCAAGCTACTCAGAAGTAGTTTAATGAGATTTTTAAAACAAGTTTCAGTCCACTTTACCTAGACTCTGATAGTGGGGTTGACTGGTCAGCACATATGGGACGGTGACGGGCGGTGCAGGATGTGGCTTTTGGTCATGTAGCTCGAAGTTTGCACACTTTTACTGTCTTGGGTTGCACAGCATGCACTGGTGTGGATTCCAGATCGCGAAATGGCATAAGAATAGCATCACTAACAGGATCTGTAGCAGGGAAGTTGCAGACTCGGACCCCCCCCCACAATAACTGAGACAGAAGGCACACTGTTTAAACGAGAAAATGATATTAATTACCAGTTGACAAAACTGGTTGAGTTTTGATGATCCTGAGTTGCTTTGAGATTCATGTCAACTCAGTGGAATCCACTACGCCCGAAAAGCATCTTTTGGACATTCAGGTCCAGTCCTTTGTTTTTGGCACTCGCATGAAATCCTGGTCTAGTTAGCAAGCATCAGCAAGCAGCTTATTGATGAGTGGTCATACGGCCTAGGTAGGTCGACAGCCTACCACAATATGACATAAATATTCTGGAAAGTTAGATTATTTCCAGTCTTTCAGGTTGATTGTTGACACTCTGAACCATCTTTACGATAGTTCATACTCGCCTGAGTGACACAAGGTTTTAAAACTGCTTATTGTGGCATTGACCTTTACGATCCAAGTGGTCAATTGGGTCACTTAGAGAGGTCTTTTTACAGCCCTGGGAGGGCCTCTTCAAGTGTTGTGCTTTCAAAGGGTGTAATTTGTGACACAGCAAGCCATACAAATGCTGTGTTGTAAGAACTGGCCTTCAACTTGTTTTCCAACTTTGACTGCCTTTTGTTCATTGGCATCACCTGTCTAATCTTGTTCTCACCAAGCAGTCGTAAATGGTGTGAACGAGTCATCCACTTCAACCGATCTGATTGCAACCTAGTAACCAGAAATTGCTGCATGTTATCGTTAAGCAGAAGTGAATTCATCCCACTTACCCCAAGACTTCGAGCACACCGTCAGCAATGATGAACATTTCACGCGCGATTTCTCCTTTGCGGCACACATAATCTCCAGGGGTAAATAAAATAGGCCGCATTTTCAGTACCAAATCATGTAGAAATTCTGGACGGCACTCCTTGAAAATGGCGATCTGTCAAGTGTAGAAGAATGTAACAACTGAGTGAATATAATTGTTTACGTGACAAGATTCACTCGGTTTTCCTCTCCTGCGAATACGAAGTTTATTTGACTAATGACGGGAATCAATCTGGCTTGAGACAAAAACGGCACCAGAAGCAGGACACTGATGTGGTACTTTTTCGAGACAGTCCCTGAGACATGTTGGTCACAACTATCTTAAGCTTAATGAAACAATGAATGCACTTCCAGATTTAGTATATTCTTCTAAGCAAAACATCTAGCGAGATTGCTAGATTAGTTTTTGTAGTTCTGGCTGGATCTGTGAAAGTTACTATGTTTGTTTAACCTTGGAAACGAAGTCATCATTTCTCAGCAGATGCCATGGATATAACCGATTCTGCTAATGCTGTTCAGTTGGTGATTAGTGAGCAGCTGTCACACGAATTTCACTGCTTACAGATGCTGTGTTGGTATCCAGTTGGGTGTGCGCACCCGGATATTTGTGCACCAAGGAAATCCGCGTGGGCGTTGACACCTAACTTCAGACAGCGATTACGAATCAGAGCAGACTTCTATGAATGCCGGCCCTAGATGTGAACGTGCGTGCAGTGTAATGTCATCCATGCACCTTTCTCTCATTCTATCCTTTCAATGATACATTATCCTCCGCAGTAATTTTATAGACACCTCAGGATGACGCTGCGTGTTGAGGCTTGTTTGGTGTTCTTTTATTTTATTTATTCTAACGAAAGTAGCCGTGTTTATGCGGGTTGTAAAACCTGTTGATGATTGCGGTATACTGAAATGGGAAAGACTGGTTGGTAGATTGTGGATCGGTTTGTCTACCCAAACTCAATGCACACGGCTGTCCCGAAGGTCACCTGCAGATCTGTTATGTTATTGTGTAGAGCGAAAGTTCACACGAACTAACTCTCTGCCATTGGATGGCGTAGAGTACTTCAGATGGTAAAAGGTCTGCCTCTCAGGTTCACCGCTAATCAAGGGTGTTTGAACTGACTGAAGACTATTTACTGCTTGCACGGATCAAACCAGGCAGGACATTTCTACACAATAACTATATAATCATAGTGAGTAACAATGAATAATCGCGATTCCCGTTTGCAGCTGCTTCCTCCAAATTTCGGATCCGCCTTTTCCCACTTTCCATCAGACACTATGGTAGCAAATCGTATGCCCCTTTTATTATTTTTACTAACTATCTCACAGTTTTCATCCTTGGATATGATGTCCTTTTCGAAGATTCATGAGGTCCCCGGTGCATAAAACGACCTGGCTGAATGTATCATATATTCGTTGAGCTTGCACAACTGGTGACGGCACTTTTGTCTCTCAAGCGTTGGGAGGAAGCGTTGTATACGTTATATTACTTGAAAACCCATTGCATCGCTTCAGGCTGAAGGCATATAAAAGATATATTCGGACAGCAGTGTTGGAAATACCCTACCGACAATTTAACTAGCAACTTCTGGTATTAATAAGACCATGTTCTATCAGTAATACCTAAAACGTATTAAAAACAATAAAAGGCCAGTCGATTGTCAAACCATTCTTGAAACAAGATATTGTTACTGTAAAAAGCATCTTCTGAGGTATCTGATTGAAATGGAGACGATGCGAAAACACAAATGCATGAGCATTGTAAGTGTTGGGACTTGGGTTTGAAGCACTCGTAACAATTCTGTCACAAAGGACTTATCGGCTCATCCAATTTCAAAGGACTGGTGCTGTTAACCCGGAGTAATTAATGTGAGCAATTTGGGATATGCATTGAATCCGTATGAACATCGAACTGTCCTCTATCTACCCTAGTACGCTTGTTGCCGCGTTTTTCTTTATTAGCTTGCAGCAGTGAAAAGTGTGTGGAAGTCCACGGAATTAGAACTTTGGATGTCCCACACGCGATGCGATCCGCTTATTTCTGCCCTACCAACGAACAACTGACAAAGTTTTTCTCTTCTAAATTGGCAGGCAGTTGTATCTGATAGAGGAACACAGGGCAGTTTTCCTTTCGGGTGATTCAGCAATCAATCAAACCTTTCAAATCAAACGGAGGGTGTTATGCTTTCCACGGTAGTGTCAACACTGCCGTTGCTGTCTTTGATGACGATGACGATGACGATGATGATGATGATGATGATGATGATGATGATGATGATGATGATGATGATGATGATGATGATGATGATGATGATGATGATGATGATGATGATATGCCTTTCTCCCCAGACTCACCCCACAGAAAAGTGAGTTGAAATTTCTACATTATGGTCATTTATGTGAAAAGCAAAGCGATGCTTAGCTGCTCGTAAGGAGCGAACAGGGAAATCAACAGAATGAAGCTGGATTGCTCTGGATAATGATTTTGGCTGTACGGCTTACATCCGTTCAGGCAAATAACAGTTTTGAAAAATTCACCCCATTTGTGAGCAGACGTGACACGATTGCTTCAAAAATATCAACTTTTTGAAGCCAACATAAGCCTCTCCTCCATCCAGTTTCGTGTAGCACATTTCTGCTGATGATGCGCCGAACCGTCAACTAATCGGTACACTTTAGGCCATAAAACGTGGTATTTATTTTGGTAAAAATCCTATATTGTGCTGGATACTGCTTGGCCAGTTTAGTGCTTCACATATGAAAAAAACAATCCATCTCATTGGTGTTTGCCCGGTTGCAGACACTCGGATAATTTTGCAGGACGACCGTAAGTTATTACACTTCCAATTTTTGCTGCATTCATTATGGAGCTGTTTTAGTTTCCCTAATAATAATAACAAATGGTTTACAGGACGTTTAGGTACCTGTGGATTCAACACTAGAGTGAATATGTTATTTTCCTTGGCTTATTTAGCAATGATTTACTTTTAACCCAACGGTGAAAGGCGTATGGCAAGCACACGAAAATATGAACAAATATCTTAATATGATGCATGTCAATCTCGGTCCGGTATATGCTTAGTGAGTTATGGTGATCTCCGTTTCAAGTATCTAGTAAAATTTGATTTTCAGTGACTTTTGTGTCAGGCTCTAATGGGTTTTATTTCCTGTTATCTGATAAAAGAGGCCGTCAGTGTCTGACGGATCCCAAAAGTGTCCAGCAATTGGGCATATCAATTTTGCGTTTAAAGGACAGGCTAGTTTCTTTTACTTCAGATCTAAATATCGGATCTGGCAAGGAAGAGCGCTGTAAGAGCAAGGAATGGATCGGGTCAAATTACTAAAATTCTAGCCGCAATTAATAGTCTACGAAAAAACAAGGTGGTTGAAAAATAGAAAAGTGGTCTTAGCGCACCTTCCTTAGCGTCTCGTAATTGACATCCATAACCAGTTCGGTTTTGAGCTTTTCCGGGAGCATCTCGAGGGAGGCGACATCCAGTACTCCATTCATGCTTTTTCTAGAGAAACGAAAGTAGAGAAGAAAGTTTAACAGTTAAACATAAGAACACAAAAACTCCCGGACTATTCTACTGGTCCCTGGGAAAGTCGTAGTTGTGGGGAAAGGAAACAGCGACTGTCAAAATTGAGGTAAGTTTGAAGGATGAATTCTGGCTGTTCGCTAGAATGGGTTTCCGGAAATAATCACAAGACTTGGTTTATCTCTATTGGATGAACCCATTAAGTAGGTATCATTTCTGATACATTGTTTATGGAAACAGGTACAGTGACTTACTTCTGCCACGCATAATCGTACCACCGGAGAATGCGGCTTTGGAGGTCATCTCTCACAGAATGCAATCGCATATAGTTCTTTACGTTATCCTGTCATTAGGATAGTGGAAAAAATGGCCGTTCACGTGACACTGCGAGGGGCGTGCATATCTTGCTCAAACCAAAGAGAGGAAACATACATTATACTACTGAGTATGTATTCAGCAACATTCCCCAAGATGAGTGAACAGCAGCTATGTCCACTGATTTGCTGCGGAATGTATTTTTTTGCAAAAACCTTTGAAGATGTCCAGTGTGGATGCCAAAATATTAATGATAGTACCAGCTTGGTAGAGTTGTCAAAAGATGGTGAGAGCCTTAATAAGGAGAGCAACTAACTTGATCCGCTGTAAGGCAACTTGGTGCCAGTTGTAGCTTAGAGTATGGGTGATTTTATCGACGCCCAACAAAACAAATGTCTGTGTGAGCAGGAAAATTAAGATTGTTGTGTTATGGTTGTTGTAGAACACGAGACTGAAGCCGGAATTTGACGGTGCTTGCGCCTCTGCTAATGCAATAGAGGAAAAGCGCATAATCATGTATCATCATCACGGATGATTCAAGACCTAAACACAACTGATCGTGGAAGGCCAACACGAGTCATCTCTGGACTAAAATGTTGCACAACAAGCAGCAGAATTAGATTTAGATGTGTCGAAACTGTGTGTGGATACCTGATGCCAATACCAGCATATACGTACTTTCCATCTTGGAAATCTAACTCACATAATGTGGTAACAGGATTTAGAAGATGAGGCAACAAATCTTCGAATGATATCAGTGGAGTTAAAAAATTCAGGGAAGTGACAATTTTGACGAACAACGTGCTATATTCTACCATTAAATCTGTCATAGACTTCATCCTTCTTAGACTTCGTAAGCGGCGCGGCATAGTAGCACGCTGTCCACAGACTTGACAACCGGTACTTAACTAACCCTTTGAGTTCTTAAGTCCTGAATTGTCTTCAGGTTACTATTTTAAAGTGCTTGAAGAAATCAGAACCTGCTGTTAGGCAGTAATGTAACAGTGCATTTGCTGTTGAACTGCCCTTACTATCGTGCAATAGGGGAACGTGCGCACTGCACCGACAGCACAGTAGGCTGCTTGGAAGGTTTGCAACGCCTGCACATAGCACTGCTAGATCAAATCCGGAATACTGAAATTCTCAGCCGAGGAAAATTGACTTAAATCGGCATTTATGGATGATGCCATGACCACATTCGGATACGTGTGAAAAACTGTTGTCATGATTGCAATTCCTGGGAAAATCTGGGACTTTATGGAGTAGCCCGAAGAACTCCCGCGTACTCAAGCTTAAGGATCTTTGAGGCGTAATGCTTCTCAATTCCTGGAAGCAATCCCATTATTGAAAAAGATTCAAATTATGGAGAACAAACACAAACTTCTTGCTCAGTGTAAATTGTGTCGTACGTATCCGATAAGAATCGAAATCACAGTTCACCAACGCATCACATGAAAACTATAGACAAAAAGCAGCCAGTGGCATAAGGAAGCTTGCTGTCATTTCCATGGTATATTTTCCAAGGGTAAAACATCCTTAGTCTCACAGCAAAACCTGTTCGACTTTGGCACCGCGCTACAAAACGCCAGCACCAGTAGTAATATGAGGGCTGGATCGCCATATTACGATCCGTTTCTTCTCAAGTGACACTCATCGAGCGTTTTGGATAGAGTTATATTAAGGTGATTTGTAACAGTGGAATCGCCTGGTACCACTTGCATTTGAAGGAATTAATGTGAGATCATTGAGTTCATTTCGGAGAACCATCGCTAGTGCTCATTCTTTGCCATCATTGTGCTGGTGGATGACTAGTTTGGCATCCACGATTTTACCCGGGTTTATATCGGCATTAGCAGCTTGGAAGTAGTACTATTTTCGGCTTCAAGGAAACCTATTATAATTCAATAATGTGGGCAGACGTTTAATCTATTATCCATTCCTGGCCCGTGGATTCCCCTAGAATTTCAGCGAACCAAAATGCATCAAAAGCAGATTTGACAAGAATAAGCAGGAATACGTCGAAGTAAGTTTCGGTTGTTAATACTTACCAACACTTCCTCAAAAGCCACGCGTGCTGCATTTTGACTGTTGATGATGCTTCCAACCTGACCTGCGGAGGGATTGTGAAGAGTTCGTGATACACAGTTTCGATAAACTGACATTTGATTCAGTTGCGGAACTACTGCTTAGGAATAAGTAGTTTGCTTTTTTGCCGTAATCCGGAAGAGCTAGGAGTCTACAGAATGAAATTAAATGCACTCGTGAACATTCGGAACAAAATTCCATATACTGCTACGAATCTACTCGGGACACATCCGAATAATTAAGTACAAACAGTCGATGTGAAGGCAACCACGACGCTTTCCTCACGTCATCTTCAATCTCAGTACTAAATCCAACCACGTCTGACCAATATTCCACGTCACTTTATTTTAGGATGTGAAAGTGGTCTACTGTCGACCCTTAGGGAAGGAGAGAAACCTCAGTGCATCTGCTCTAGAAATTCTCTCATTGCAATCCAAAAGACAAGTGCTTATCAATATTTAAGGGTGGATGAATCACTGAAGGAATAATAATACCGGTGAAAGCAGGAAACTAAAAAATAGATGGCGTTCTAATTAACATTTCTCCAGGTAAATTATCCTGAAACTCATAAAAGATACTTTACCTCCTTTACTAGTGTCTATAAGCAGAGGGTGCTTCCAAAAACGGATCAAAATTGCTCAGTCAAACATTTTACTATACTATGAGGAATGTATTTCAAGAAAATATTTTAAAAGTATCTTCTGGCATCTGCCAACATTCATTCAATACTGTGATCTTGGTTCATTATGTTATCTGAAACTAACGGATATACACTGTTGATTTGGATGTCGGTACTGCAAATGGTATCGTGAAAACAAGTGGGGGAGCATTTTAGAGACAAATTTCCGTATGATGACCATTAGAGATCGAATCTCAATTTTTAATAAATATACGTATGCCAAGAAATGCAATAACATATGTACAAGGTTATTCCGTTTGGTAAACCCTGTACTATATTTTTATGGCCCCAACCTTAAGTAAGCCATTTCATACGAGTTGTTTTACCCAAGTCTTCCCACGTTTTCCCAAGTCCTATAAAATCCCTCTACGTACGACCTCGATCCAGGAACTGAGTTCCTCATGTTTGAGAAAAAAATATTCTTTAAAATGTGCAAAGCGAGAGCAGCTTTTCAGGTTGTGAACTTCCAGCATTTTCAGAGTAACAATCTATTCTTTGTTCTAAAACACCGGTTTTTGTTCGTACCGGAAAGCAAAATCTTTAAGTCCCAAATATTATCTATTTTCCTCCGTGGTGTCTCATTTGTCTTACGGGTATTTATAAAACAAACCGATTGGGTGCTTCTTTCTAATCTACAATCTTGCAGATTAGAGGCCGAAAGTGATATCTTTTCTCATCACCTAAAGTCCCAATCAATAATTGCGACCTACTCCCAAGTTTCAGCTTGCAAATTATGTGCATGTGGTTTGAAGGTGACAGTGTTGATAGTGCGGCATACCGATTTACTCGGCTCATTAGGAATTTTGTTTTTCGTAAAGTTCGTCGACATGATTAAAGTTGACAAGAGCGGTGAAACTCTACCATGAATCAAAACGTTGCACTTTATCAACATCGTCAACCAATCGACATCAGGTCAGCTGTCTACAATTTGCCCGTGCACAAGGGTTTCGTAAGCCAGCGCTTTGTAAAGCGAAAGGGTGTCCAAAACAGTGTACAAAGCTAATCAAAATAAAGTGTCATCGCGTCTACTAAGCAAATGATTCCAACTCATCACTAGGATAAGTTTCTCGGGGAAAATTACAGTGGGACAGCGAAGCAAAAGTTGCATATGATACCAAGATATAGAATAAAATAAAAATCAGAGTAGACGAAGTTGATATGTCTACATGCCAATCAAAGAAATTCAAATCAAGGTTCAAAGTCGTGTGCCTGGCAGATTGCATGTTTATAGTAGGATTCCTAGGATTCCCGTTTTTTGCTGGCTTTGCGTTTTGACATTCTGAACTTTGTAGAGTCGCATTGGAACAACTGTGACAGATACATACCAAAACAATGAAGGGTGACAGAATATAGATGGTTGAAAGTCCGAAAAATTCATTTCCAGCTATGGAAATTATTCGGTGGCTAAGACCTTTTAATTCAGGAGAAACTCGGCACCTATCCCTATAGCGCATCCCTAAAAAAGGGATTGCAAAAGCTATCCCCGGCGAAATCGTGAAACTCATTCGCGGAGAGGTAAAAATTGAGACTTGGGTCAAACTTGAGGAACCTGACCTCAAATATGGTCTTTCTTCTGCGCCAAACAAACAAACATTTCGATAAGCCATCAAAAACATACAGATTTTATCAAACCTTGGATGGAATAACATATTGCAATACTAGAACCGGGAAAGAATTTTAGAGCTGTGATTTGAAACTCAGTGCATTAGGCGTCAAACAGGATATAACTCCATCAGATGCCTATGAATTTCGGTCTTCATACAAATGGAAAAATGACGTTGGGGAACAAAGTCTTTTGCTGATTTGGGGTGCCTAAACCAAGTAGATTGTACACCACCATTGTAGGGTTTATAAACGACCTGCTAATAAGATTTTCCAAATAGCCCTATTTTTTATACTGTGAAGGGCCGCTTAGCAGCATTTCATGAACCTGTAAAAACTGTCCTCACGGAGGTACTTCTGTCCTTCGAGTTACTACAGTTTTCCTCATCAAGATATAGGGGCATGGTGGTTTTTCGCCACTTGATAGAACGAATGCAGGGCTCATCCTTTGTATTCTTCAGAGAACATTACTTTTAGGTTTGATACTCATACTCTCCTTTGTGATAAAGATGCTCATCAGGTACTACCCGGCAGAACATTCAGCTTATCAATTCACAAAGCTGGCCGAAGCCAGCGATATAGCTGATTTTCGTTTTGGATTCCATGAAAGATGCATAAAAAGATGTCATAAAAACTGGAGTTTTAAGACTCATCACTGATTT